CCCCAAAACCCCAAAACCCCAAAACCCCTTTAAATATTATTTTAGTTTTAAGGTATAATAATTACAAATGGGTGGAGAAGAATCAGTTCCTACAAAGAATTCTGGGTCAAAGGTACATCAAAACTATTTCTAACCCTTATAAAAATGGCGATAATCCATAATTTGCATCAATTGTGAGTAATAAACAATCAGATTTCTGTAAAAATAATAATATATACTCCTAAACTAACCCAAACGGCTCAACTTTAACCCACTTAAGCTTGTTCTCACCCATTTTAGACTCATAAAAACTTTAAAGTCCACAAGTACTCATTCAAGCAAGATCCAAAGTAAGAGCTGTTCTCATAAAAATAGCTTCATGAAGGAACAACGCAAGTTAGAAGAAAAGGAAGAAATAGGTCCAAGGCCAATTCAAGACTCTCATACTGACTATTGTAAGCTACCACTCTTCGTATGCTAACTCTTTTAGACAAAATGGGTGGCTCCAAAAGGACATCTATCAAAAGGTATTCTTGCTTGTTACCAACTGTTAACTGCAACCTCGACCAGGGCTCCTTGCTCAATCCGTACCTTTGGTTCTTCTGAGTTGGTAGAACAGTGCATTTTTCTTAAAGTTTCTAAACAATTAAGTGTTCTTATAGACAAAATAGCTTGAAAGAGGACTCAGAGGTACATAACACATATAAGTTTTACAAATCAGATCTTAAATTAGGCTTGAATTTACTTAAATATAGCCCGAAACATGCAAAGATTTAGAAAAGTACTCAAAACTCCAACTAATTTCTCAAATTAAAGAGATGAAGACCTAAAATGTACCTGTCTGAAGGCGGGTCTCACTATGCAGGTATCCTTAACCAGCTTAGATATAGAGTCTAGAGTCAAGAAACGGAATGATCCTCACAAAATGATCAAGGCTAATGCTTCAAACTTTTCATCAGAAAGAAGCAAGAATATTTTCAAAAATTCAATCAAAAGAGGAACTAAAGGAAGTATTAATTCTGAAAAGAGTCATAAATCTATTAAAGCACGGTTTGGTAAGAAAATGCTAGGCTCTGATCAGTCCTCTCAGAAGCAGAGTGCGGGTGGCACAAGCATCAGAAGTGGAAAACTCAACATTTTTAAAACTCAGAAAAAGACCAATATTTTGTACGTTTTCCTATCTTTTATACTAATTTAGCAACCCTAATAAAACTATATGAGGGTCTCAGCATTTCAAGAGAGCCAACAGAATAATGACTTTAAATCTCTCAAGAGCTAAAGAAAAGGTAAGAGGAATGCTTACTCTTAGCCAAAAGCATGACTGCCCAAGTTCAACAAAAGGCCATCATACAAAAATAAAACTAGGAAAAGGGAAATCTTAGTGAGCAAGAAGCCTTCCCAAAATTTAGAGGAAAGGAAGGAATCTGAGCAAGTCCAAGAGTCCAGAAAGAGCCATGATTCTCAAACTGGCAGCAGTTTTAGAGGATCCTCAGCTGTTAACTCCTCATTCGTCACTTTTGGAAGACCTAGTTTTGTAAGAGAAGAAGCAGGAGAAATAGAAAGATGAGGAGCTGAACAAGGATAAATACATTAAACTTTCAATATTAGACCACTAACTAGGGGTTTTGGGGTTTTGGGGTTTTGGGGTTTTGGGG